ACTCTTTTTTTGTTATTAAGCAAACTTATAAAACATACTTAATTTAAATTGGTTTTTGTGATTAAACAAACTTATAAAACATACATAATTCATTCGGATACATTCTCACAATCCGTAGAAACATCATCATTTTCGGCAAACTCTTCCTCAACAACGTCGTCCGTTGAGTGATCAGGGACATCTTCGTATTCACGATTATGCAGATCAATGAGTAGGATGTCATCAATTTCTGCTTCAGGTTCCTCGATTTCATTGGTGTTTTCTTCTTGCAATGGTGGTTCTTCTCCCTCGATTATCCGTCCTCGAGGTGTCACTTTGATAACAGCTAACCAGTTTATTCCCGTTGTAGTAATCCCGAGGGTATGGAATGAAGCAAACTTGATCTGCTTGGGAAGCTACTATGAAAGGCTCGAATTTGTTGTACCTGCAAAAATTAAGACAACGGAGAAATTATTAGTTCTCAGAACATGCATGTACATATGTCAAAAAAGAATTTGTTGTACCTTCGTCCACCATTGACGTCAACTACACCGTTCTTGTTAATCCGAACACCTCTGTTGACGACGGGGTCGTACCACTCACACTTGAAGATAACGCANTGTAGTGACCTTTGCAACTGGACCTTGGAGTAATTCGCGAAACCATGCGGGATACTGAGGATCGTCATAATCAACCTGCAACAAAAAGTAATATAGCTAGACATATTAGACTTAATTTGTGGTAATGCATGCATAAAATTTAAGTAATAATAAATACTTGTTTCCTCAACCACTTGATAAAGTGTTGATCTTTCCTTTTCTCTAACTCAGGTGTCGATATACCAGGTATTGCTTCCTCGACTTGAGTCACAAATTGGCTGTAAAATCATATATGTTATGTTATATATTTAATATTGAAATATATGTATATATACATATATATATATATATATATATAACTGTGTATGCTTATATATATATTTACCTTTCAAAATAAGCAATCAATGGATGCTCGCAATTAAGAAGAATATAAAGGTGTGCACTATGGACGTCTTCATCACTCGACCACCAAATCTCTTTCAATTTCCCACCCAATCGCCCAATTTGACAAAAGATGTCTGGAACATCGTCTTCCATATATGTTGGCACGACACCACCATCATCATATCTTCTTAGAGCTCGTTTCCTTGTACGTACTTTCGGTGCAAAGTAGTACGATGTGAAATGTGATGTTTCTTCCGTCAAACTTCCCGCAACAATAGAACCTTCAACTCTTGCTAGGTTTTTGGCTTTTCCTTTCAAAGTTTTCATGTCCCTTTCATACTGATACATCCATCCATAATGCACAGGTCCACGAAGTAATGCCTCATACGGGAGGTGGACAACTAGGTGTTCCATGACGTCGAAAAAAGTAGGCGGAAATATTTTCTCCAAGTTGCAGATTAAGACAGGGATGTTTTCATGAAGTTGTTGGACAACTTCCACTTTAAGAGTGCGGGTGCTCAAATCCCTAAAAAATGCTCCAATTCCTATATATTTACAAAAACAAACATTATCCACATTAGTATATATATATATGTATAATCATATCATCGTATTATATTAATTAATTACCTGAAAGTGCTTCATGTACTTTTGCCGGTAGTAGCTCCGCAAACGCAAAGGGAAGTACTCGCTGCATGAAGACATGACAATCATGGCTCTTCATCCCGGAGAACTTTTGCCCTTTCTCAACACATCTTGAGAGATTTGAAACATACCCATCAGGAAACTTCACTTCTGAAGCCACCCAGTTGAACAGCGCAGACTTTTTTTCTGATGACAGTCTGAATATTGGAACTGGAACTTGCCCATTGCTTTTTATATGCAGCTCACTCCTTGAGCAGATATCGGGTAAGTCTAACCTCGATTTTACGTTGTCTTTCGTCTTCCCTGGGACGTTCAATATAGTGTTCATGATGTTCTCAAAAAAGTTCTTCTCTATATGCATCACATCGAGGNGTCACTTATGGTCCACAAAAGCATCGCTCGCATCGTAAAGTTTGTTTTCGTTGAACAATCATATGTCCTCACCCCTGTTGACCACAAATCTTTCAACTCTTTTATTAGTGGTTGTAGAAAAACGTCGAGAGATCTTTTTGGATGTTTTGGACCAGGTATTAAGATGCTCATGAATAGAAACTCTCGTCGCATGCACATCGGTGGCAGGTTATACAGTGTAAGAAAGACCGGCCACAATGAATATTGTCTCCCAGACATTCCAAATGGACTAAAACCATCAGTGCATAATCCAAGATACACATTCCGGCTATTGCTAGCGAAATGTGGATGTACATTGTTAAAATGTTTCCAGGCTCTTGCATCTGATGGATGAGTCATCTCTCCATCTGTCTGAGTATGCTCGGCGTGCCATCTCATCCCTCCAGCAGTCTCCTCAGATTGGTACAATCTTTTCAATCTGTCTGTGATTGGTAGGTACCACATCCTTTGGTACGGTACCCTATTGCGCCCTCGACCTTGCGGTTTGAATCGTGGCTTCTTACAAAATCGACATTCTTCTAACTTCTCATCATCTCCCCAGTAAATCANCTCCAGCAGTCTCCTCAGATTGGTACAATCTTTTCAATCTGTCTGTGATTGGTAGGTACCACATCCTTTGGTACGGTACCCTATTGCGCCCTCGACCTTGCGGTTTGAATCGTGGCTTCTTACAAAATCGACATTCTTCTAACTTCTCATCATCTCCCCAGTAAATCATGCAGTTGTCGATGCAAACGTCTATCATCTTCGAGGGCAACCCAAGACTATATACCAATTTCTGAAACTGATAATAAGATTCAGCAGACACATTGTCTTCTGGCAAATACTCTTTAAACAAGTTTGCCCATGCATCCATACAATTTTCAGGTAGATTGTGATCGATTTTAATACTTATTATTCTAGCAGCCAACGACAATTTAGACAGACCTTCTCTACAACCACTGTAAATTGGCTCATTTGCAGCTTCTAACATTTCGTAAAACTTTTTTGCATCTAAGTTAGGTTTTCAACTTCATCATCATCATGAGTTACAAATGCATCACCTACCATATCATGAACCCTATCACAATCTACCATTTTTTCCTCTTGGTGATGATCATAGCTATAACTACTGCTACCTTCATTCCGCAAATGATCAACCGGTTCAACCTGATTACTACTGCTACTTTCATTCCTACAACTAGCATCTTCTCCATGTTGATACCAAATATAATAATATGGCATGAAACCTCTATTTATTAAATGCTTCCAAACATTTTCACGAGGGCCTAATTTGCTATTGCAACATTTCCGACAAGGACAGAACATCTTACCACTTTCCTGCGTGAGTGGTGTAGAATCTTCTTGATGCATAAACGTCTCCAACCCTTCCAGAAATTCGTTCGTCACCCTCCTGTTATTATCTCTGTGTGAATACATCCACTGCCGCAACTCGAAAATATTTCCCGGACCGGACATTTTTTTGTGTTTGATCAAGCTTATAGCTGATTTTTTTTTGTGTGTTTCAAATGAATCACATAAGGTGGTATTTATAGAAATTTTCGAATCTGAGCATTTACTAGGAAATTGCTAGGAAAAGTAGGTACAAAACACGTTTTTTATTTAAATTCGATATTTCCTATCCAGTTCCTCCTAATTTCGTAATAATAAACAGTTTCCTCCTAATTTCGTAGTAAACTTTTACTATGCGTTTACGAGGAAAGTCTTTACTACGGCTTTACGAGGAAAAGTACTTTTTCCTCGTAAGCTCCTCGTAAAATTACTAAGGTCTTACGAGGAAAACGTTTTCTCGTAATTTTTCGAGGAACTTACGAGGAAATTTGCTTTCCTCGTAAACTCGAAGTAAGGCCTTAGTAATTTTACGAGGAAGAATTTTCCTAGTAAAATTTCCTAGTAAAGGTTTAGTTTTCTTGTAGTGCTGGCTTTGTACCATGAGCTGGAGGTTCAAGTAAGTTTATTTTTTTTCGTTGTTACGGCCACTGCATCGCTTCCTCTCTCGATAAGAGTTCCGGCTGTTCAAAGCATTGAAGGATGAATATTGTTATCTCTTGTCAAGGGTTGTTTTTTGATTTGGTTATATGAGTCTAGAGTCCTCTAGTGTTTGTTGTAGTTTTTCAAGTGTCACCCGTTGTTTGGGTTTATACCACCCGTTGTTTAGGTGATTATTCTTGAGTTCACCAACCAATAGGATTGTGTTATTATATATTTAGTATCTTTTTAAAAAAAGAAATGAATATTGTCAAAGTATATTATGTTTTAAAAATAAAAAGGTAAAAATGAAAAAAAAAGTAATAATTGCAAAAAAGAAAAAAAAATTCTTTTTTTTTTAACATCGAAAGCAAAACACTAAACCCTAAATCATAAACCTTAAACTTTGGATAAACCATAAACCTTTAGATAAACCATAAATCCTTATGTAAACTATAAACCCTCAGATTAAACACTAAATTAAAAACACTAAACACTAAACCCTTAATCCTAACCTCTAAAACATTACATAAAAATAAATAAAATTTAAAATATTTTTAACGCGTCAGCAATACCATAAACCCCAATTCTAAACACTAAATTTAAACTTTTGGATAAACTATAAATCCTAGGATTTACAATTTATCGAAGGGTTTAGGGGTTTGGATTAAGAGTTTAGTATTTTTAAGATTTAGTGTTTACTGTTTTGATTTAGGGTTTAGAATTTATCCGAGGGTTCAGTTGGAAAAAATTTAGGACCAAATTAACCAAACTGAAGCGAACCCAAAGTGCCCACACCTAGATTTTACCCTTGTATATTCTACAAGTTTCAAAATTAAAACCAGAGGGAGAAAAGAACTATATTGGCATAGTTAACATAAATGTTTGGCCAATTATTAAAGCAAAAATGAGCGTGATAACTTAAGACTATAATAGGCCCCACAAGAATAAATGGGCCAGCGAAAGATATCATAAAAGTCAAAACCCAAAATCCATTGACGATCAAAGCGCACCGCCGTGTCGTCTTCGTCGTATATTTCCCCCAGTAGATGAACACGTTGTTCAAACTCGGAAGCTTGATCAGAATCACTGCTTCCCGTCTTTCTTCAAATCAACACCTTCGCTACTACGCCGTAACCTCTGCTTCTCCCACTATTCCCCAACCTCGTTTCTTCTCCAATGGCACCGACGGGGAAAGCGCGCTTTATCACCACGCGCGCATGTTCAGGAAACCACTTTCCACAAGCTTCGAGTTCAACCTTTCGAACTCCGTGAGCCTTATGGGTTTCGTCGATCAACCTATTAGAGTCATCGACACGGAGCCCGATAGGTTCGGTGTTTCTACTTGGCTTAGAGTCACAGACCCGCGTGATCCCATCCGACGGAGCTTTAGGTCAGCTTTGCTTAATAAGTTTTGGGATTCAAAGCTTAAATCTTGAAAGGAAGTTGATGGATCACATAGTGACGTAGTAGATTCGTTTTAGGATTGATAGAGAGTTTGATTCAATTGACAGGATACCTCTTAGTATTTGGGACGTGATGGCACGGAAGTGCATTGCTCATTTGAAGCCCAATGATTTCATATCTGTCTCAGGCCGCCTGGTTTCTTACGACAAGAGCTCTGGTAATGAAAATAGCGCCTCAAGTTTGGATTACCAGGTTTGTGTTTCTTCTTGACCATAAATTTTATCTCAAACTCTACACTAGTCCTTGCTTCCACCTAGCTTCTACTGATGAATGGTGTATATTAGTGTTGTGTAGCCAAAGCTGTATTTATATATATATATATGTTATAAGCAACTTCATGTTCCATGTGTAGCTAAGACTTATGTTTTTTTTGTCTTTACTCTTAGTATTGACGCTGAGTTATTGCAGGTTAAAGTGTCAGAGGTGAACTACGTGATGCCTCCACCAAGTCACGTCTTAGATTCTGAGATACCCCAAAAGCTTAAATCAGAAACAGGTCATTATATCTCCTTTGCATCATCCTCGTTTAATCCAATTAAAGAATCTTGTAATAGGCTGACTCCACATTGAAACAGGTTTATATCTTGTGGTTTAGGTAGTTTTGAGTGTTGAATTTCAAGAGTTTTGTACATTTTATAAGGAAAGATGAGTAAAATCTCCAACATGACCTTTCTATATGTGTTTAGTGTTTCTTGAAATGGAGAGTGAAGGTGGTACAGAAGAGTCCAAGAATGGTGATATTGACTTGTGGGAAGCCTTCTTTGCCAATCCAGACGATTGGTGGGACAGGAGGAGAAATAAGAAGAACCCGAGGCTACCGGATTTTAAGCATAAAGATACAGATGAAGCTCTCTGGCTTAGCTCAGGTACACCGGTTTGGGTTACTAGACACCTTGAACTGTTAGACCAAAGAAAAGAAGATGATCTAGAAGAATCTGAGAATGATGAGATTTACTTGTGGAAAGCCTTCTTTGCGAACCCAGACGAGTGGTGGGACAAGAGGAGAAACAAGAAGAACCCAAAGCTGCCTGACTTCAAACATAAAGATACAGGGGAAGCTCTCTGGCTTAACTCAGAAACACCGGTTTGGGTTACTAGACAACTTGAATTGTTGGACCAGAGTAATCCAGAAGGTGTAGAAGAACCCAACGATGATAAGCTTTACTTGTGGCAACTCTTCTTTGCTAATCCACACGAGTGGTGGGACAAAAGGAAAAGTAAGACGAACCCGAGACAGCCTGACTTCACCCACAAAGACACAAGTGAAGCTCTCTGGCTTGACTCAGATGTACCGGTTTGGGTTACTAGACAACTTGAATTGTACGACCAAAGTAATACAAACAAGAGCTGTTATGACCAGGAACAAACAGGTCGTGGCCGTCTTGGTGACTGGGTTTAGATGTTTCTTTAGATATATTACAAAATGTGTTTCACCACTCATCTTAAGATCGTTGAAATCACATATCAGTTTCTTCGGCTAATATAGCCTGGAATCACTCACCATGTAGTCTATTGGACGCTGAACATGCAAAATTATAAAATAAATAATCTAATAATTTTGGCTAGTGGAAAGCTAGAAAATATTAACCAGGATAGAGTAAAAACGCGAGCAGCTCCCTCTCCAAAAGTTTGATCTGAGTTTTGAGCCCGGTGTACGACGCGTGCACTCGTTCCTTCTTGGCATCTCTTTCAATTCCACTCTCTTACCGACTTCTCTGAACTCTGGTCTGGTGTCCATCCTCAAATCATCTTTAGCTTGCTAAGATGAATGCAATGGTAGTTCTGTTTCTCCTGGAGTCCAGACGCGGTTGTGTGGTGGTTGTCGCGTGGCTCTCCGTCTCTCCTCAGTGTCGTGGGTGTTAATTCTACAGCGCTCTAGTAGGGTCTTAGGGTTTGGCTTTTTGCTTTTGGCTACATCAACGGTGTAAGTGGAGGTGTGTGATTGGTGCGGTTGTGGGTGCTTGGTGTTGTTGTGTTTGGTGAGTAGAACAGCTCTAACCGTTGAGAAGATTCAGATTCTTATCGTCGTCATCTCTGTGGGTATTGGAGTCCTTCTCTTGGCCTTGAATAATTGCCTCTTCCGGATTGTCTTGTGCCTCTCTTGTTCTTCGGTGGCTTCAGTTAGTTTGAAGCAATATAAAGAGGATGTGGCTTCTAGGTTTTCCAATGAAGGCTCGGTTGAGAAGGGAGCTTAAAATCTTAGCGATTGTTTGTTTGCTTGTTAGTTGGTGTATGGTGTTAGGCGTATGGAGTGCTGGTTTGGTACCGTGAACTGATGGTTCAGGTAAGCTTAGTATTGTGTTGTTGTGAAGACCTTGCATCGTTGTTCTTTTCTTATGCGTTTCGCGGTATCCGACTTGTCAAAGTTTTGAAGTTTTATTCCTATTATCCTATTCAAGATTTGTTGTCGAGAGTGTATGCAAGAGTGAAGTTTTAGACTAGTAATTGTAGTTGGTCTATGTATGTCACCGTTGTTTGGGTTTGTGTTGTCCTGCTGTTGGCTTAGCTTCCGGGAATGTTAAATTGTTTTCGCTGGATTTAGGATTCCACTCTCGTAATGTGTTCAGTTTCATCAATCAAACCAGTTTGCAAACAAAAAAGAAAAACTAGAAAATATTATAAAAGTAATAAGTGAAATAATTCGGATATATTAAAACAATTAGACATACTACATATATATAGGTTATATGGTTTGTAAGTTAAGTGTACACGATTATTTTTAAAATATAACATTGTAAACATTTTATTTAAATATATGTCTGATTAAAAGTCTCGTTCATTCAGAAAGAGATTTCTTTTGAACATTCTCATCAAGATATTTATGTTTAGATATTTTTATTAAAACCCAAGAAACATAAATTCGTGTAACGAAATAATCCATGATTGCATGTAAAATTTAAATAAAAAAATATTGAGAAAAAATTAACTATATATTTGTGAATTTTGGTTAATTAAATAAAATGCTAGTAATATTTTCATGTAATGTTCAATTCCTATTAATATATACAATAATACAAATTTGCAATGATACGGTTTGTATTTAATACGATGATAAGAACTTCTATTTTATATTGAAAGTTGTGCTAGTTTTAAACCATAAAAACAGATTTCACGAAATGTATACTTTAAATAAGAATTTCATTTTAAATATCAAGTTTATGAATTTATTTTATTTTTAATAAAAGTTGATAAAAAATTAAATTATAAAAATTTAAATGTATTTTTCAAAAATAATCTTAGTCATTTAACAAAAAAACTAATGTAAGATAAAATTGTATGTGATGATATTTAACATAAAAAATCTTTACATATATTCAAATTTTTAGTTTGTCTTTAAAATAACATGAATAAATTTTGAAAGATCAAAAGATGTAACATATTTGAACATTTACTTTTTAATCGAATGTTTCAAGTTAAGTTTTTATTATGGATATATTTGACAATAATTTTTTTCTTAAAATTTAAGGATGCATTTTGTTAGTTATACTGTTTGGCTTATTTTACAACTAATATAAATGGGTTTCTGGTTCTTTTCCTTTTCAGAATCGAATAAATAAATAAAAACTAAAAAGTCTTCTACAAATCAAATTATAAAAATTAATCTTACGACTCATCTATGAATGGCATATATACAAAAGTCACTTAAATGATTTTTTTTTAATTAATATATAGGTCAATTATTTTAGGAATAGAAACTAAAAAGAGACTATCTAAGAGAATTACCCACTTATATTGAAATAAAAATTTAGTTTTTAATGATGGATTCTATTAGGATGTCATGTAAGTAAAGAGATGTTAAAAATGTGAAGCACAAAAACTTATAAAAATTTGTAAAAACTTGTATGTAAATGGTTATAAATATATTTATAAATTTACAGATGTAGATTTGTAAGGATTTGTAAATCATATAAAATTATATGACACTTTTATTATATACTAGTGGTTGGTCCGCCCTACGGGCGGGTGAGTTTACATTGAAACTATAATCTGTTTAGTTCATCACTTGTATGTAGTGTAACCATATCAGTTTTAAAGAGTCTGATTTTCTTTGTTTATTTATTTATTTTGAGTATGATAGATACTAAATTTCATGTGATACATGCTTTGTGTTCGATTAATTTTGTGGTTGGTTATTTGCTTTATGAAGTTGATCCCACTTGAGAGTAAGAAATGGATGTTTGGATGGTGGCTAATGATATGTGTGTATGTTGTCATTTGGTTCAATTTTTTTGTGTGTTTCCTTGCAAAATTTATCGACCATTTTTTCCTTGTGCTCATTGTTTCTATAAAGCACGGATTATTATCAAATTCTCATATTCCATCTAATGCTAAATCTTGGATGAGTTTACTTTTGAAGTTCTCTAGATGCATAATGTTGTCTTTTTTGTGGAACATGCATAATGTTGTTTATGCAGTCAAAGATTTGTTTGTTAATAGCTGCTTTATGACGTTAGACTTCGAAAATATGTTTTTTTCTTAAATTTAAATGCAGACACTATAATTGTCTGTATTGACTATATGGTTAAACTTATACAGTTTTATGTTAGTAGAGTCTTATTTAAAAACAAAATCAGTGGGCATTAATAAGTGAATCATTTGTGATTAAAACATCCAGACTCAAACCAAAGGTGTAAATAAACTTTTATAAAAACTTGAAATTATAGAAACTCAATGCAAAATTTGTTTCACCTTTTAGCCCAAAGAACCTGCAAAGGGGAGATTCATAGGGTCTATTGTATTTATAAATGTTTTGTCTATGTTGTGCAATTTATTATTATGAAGCTTAGTATTCTTCATTTTGTGCTTAGACTTTATTTTAACTTCTTCATGATAATTTACATCCAACATTTTGCCATCCACGCCAATGATGAGCTCGTTATAGTTTGATTAGTGAACATATATTTTTTAGAGAACATAAATATACTATTATTTGCGTAGTACGTAATAATTACTGCATTTTGAATTATTATTGAGATTACATTGAATTAAAACGTTTCAAATGAAGCATACGAACACTATGTGAATTTTATACTGAATTTGTTTAGGATGATCAAGCATAATAGATGATCTTATTGAACTTTTTGTATCTAGGGTGTATGTGCACTTCGGCCGAAATTTTTTAAGTATCTAAGTTTATTGTTTCACAAATGTTTTATATGGATGTGATTTGTTTTAATTTCTTTGCCAAGCAACTGTTCTAATTTTATCTCTTTTATTTTATTCTCATTCATTAGCATCATTTTATTTTATTATCAAAAACAAAACTTAAGTTATTTATGTATGTTTTTCTAATATTATCGCTTTTTAATTATTCTCATTCATTAGCATCGTTTTATTTTATTATCAAAAACGCAACTTAAGTTATATATGTATATTTTTAATACATAAATGGAGTATGTTTTAGATTGGAAATAATAACATAATATTTGCACTTTACATCATTCATATTTTGTCTTTTTCTGGTTTTTCTCACCATTTATGCAAATATATTTTTATTTCGTGTTTCTAACTATTTTTTGGAAATGTTGGTTTTAGTTATCTATTATTTTTGGTGATGGTTTTGCATTCTTATTAGTTTTTCTTGGACTTATTTTATACTAAAAAGAAGAAAAAAAAAAATAGATGAGTTACATTCTTTTTAATTTTAGTTTTCGTTCACCTTGCAACGCAGAAAAAAAACGATATTGTAAATGGTTGTATGTATTTTTCGTTGTTATGAACTTATCTAATCTGTTTTTAATTTTAGTTTTCGTTCACGTTGGTTTGATGCAACGCAAAAAAAAAAAAACAATATCGTAAATGGTTGAATTTTTTGCAGCTGGAGTAAACAATCGATGCAACAAACGGTTCTCACAATCTGAAATATCATATTTATACATCATTGGCTATAAACATGTTTTCGGCCAACATATTTATGCATCACAAATTTCAGTGTATACATCCCCAAAATTAATGTTTGGCTAACCCAAGATTGAGTATGTTAAAACATAACCCTTTACTTGGTTCAAGCAAGTCTTGCTTATCTCTACATCGCCAATGATTACTCTAGGACACCGTAAGATATAATCATATTAGGAATTGGTAACAACATGTACTTCTCCTGAACCTCTTTGAAGAAATCACATATAAATGGAGCATGAAGGTTCATCGTGATGACCTGCCAGATATGTGAGCAGCGTCAGTGAACTTGGTTGTAGTGAAGGATCATAGTTCTGTTTACCTTGATGTTTGCAGGGGCATGTTTACATACCCCTACTGAATGGAGTCTGGTGATGACATGCTAAGGGGAAAAATAGCAATGTAGTAGAATTTGGCTTTTTCAACTGGCAAAGGAAAGTGAACATGTTTCACAAAGGTCTTACATAATTCTGACATATGAAAATATCCAACTCCAGAGATTAGACTGATAAAAAGGTTAGCGAAAGAGTTTTTACCAGTACCGAATTGTCGGGTACATCATTACTCCCACTCTGAACTTGAACAATCACATCCTGGTCATTAGCTAGAGTCACTCGATGAACCCGTTCTATCAACAAAACAGAGAGCTCACTATCAAAA